TACAGCGTTAAAAACATTGTTGTCTAACTGTCATAGATACCGTAACAAGTGCTTTTCATGCAAATGCTAGATAATATTTGTTGCATGCCACTGTTTAATGCTAATTCATTTTGAGGTCGCTGCACACGAGTTGAGTAAGCTATGTGCTGTGAGAAAAAAGCAAGCGCTCATGTGGGTGAATGTGATAATGGAATATGACATTACTATAAAGCCGCCACTACAAATGCAGGTGTGAAAATTACGGTTTCCTTGCACAAAACGACTGCTCAAAAACGATGCATTTACTTACTTATTTACATATCGTATCGTTAGCGGGTAATATTATTTTTTTCTTTCGTTTTTCTTTCTTTATTTTCTCGCGTTATATTCTTGACATTTTGCCTTTTAAAAATATGTGTTTTCGAAATAAAAATTATTCTAAACACCTTCGTTTGACACTCACTTTGTAAAATTTTATTCAACGCATTATATAAATTTAGTTCAAATCCTTGAACCGGTGACAAAGTCTTTCAGAAATATACCAATATAAATCTTTCTGAAATTTCATTCGTGGGACACCCATAATGTAATACATATTTTATTTAGCGTACTAATTCAATTTATTTTTTTTTGTCTTTTTAAATATGTGGCAAGCCTCTTAAAAAATATTTTAAAATTAAACTTTCTCAAAACTCTGTCTATTGGCACCCGCACCCTGTAATTAAAGTAATTAATTTAATTTTTTGAAATCCTTGAACAGGTGGCAATGCCTTTCGTAAATATTTTAATAATATATAAACTTTATCTAACCTTTTTCATTTGACAGCTACATTGCATTTAACGTATTCTATTAATTTAACTATTCGATACAAATCTTTCTTACTTTCGTGTGACGCTTATCGAGCCTTAACCGCCAAACTAACGTAAGCGACATTTTTTTTTCAAAATTTTCTTTTTGATGCAGAAATATTCCTAGAGCATCTAGATGAATTTCTGCATCAAAAAGAAAATTTTGAAAAAAATGTCGCTTACGTTATTTTGGCGGCTAGGGCTCGTTATGTTTGCATATTTAATTAAATTAAATTTAACTTTAATAACAGGTGGCAACCTGCCTCCAAAATATTTTCAAAATAAAACCGTCTAAGCCCCTTTCCTTTGAAGCTCATATTGTAACATTTCATTTTAATTAAATTGAATTTTGGTTTTTCAAGGTGGCAACCCTTTTCAAAAATTCCTTCAAACTTATAATGCCATGTTTATAATTTGACTGCATACTTAAATTGATTTTAACTTTTTGAACAGATGAATACAGGTTATAAACTCTCAGTTGTCTTATTTTATCCAAATCTGTAAAACGGTTTTAGCCTGCAGAAGTAACAAACATACTCACCCACAAGCTTTCACATTTACATACGTTTTTTCTTCCTTATATGGAGAAAAATGCGGCTCTAGCAAAAAAAAAAATTAAAAATCAACGCGATTTCTTAGGTATTTAAAATTTGTATATTATTATACTAAAATTGAATTGGCCATAAAACTGCATACCGGAAGTTAGAAAAGAATCGGCGTAAAAAGTTTAAACTTGTGATGAAAATTAAAGGGTATTAAATTCATATATCATTTTTCAGTATGACTACAAATTTTTAAGATATTAAGATAAAACTTACAAAAACGATAATAATTACCAAATTGAAGACGAGACTTACTGTTACTGATTTATAATAATTATATAATGAAAATCGTTCAGATTATAGAAATATTATTTAAAGATAAAAAAAAAATGTTACATAAGTAAACCAATTAGTGTTTCCATACTCATTTGCATAAACAAAATTTTCCCACGGCGATGGAAAATAATAGATTTTCCATTAGAGCTTCCGAAATTGTTCCTAAATTTGCAAAAATTCGCAAACTATAGCTAATATTAAAAAAGATTAGAATGTTTGGAACCTAGGATTGTTCTATACCGAAAAAACTATATCCCCATTTTTTTATTTTGAAATGAAAAAAAAAAAACAAATTACGGAGTGCTAAAGGCGCTCAAAGTTTTTCATGTATTTTTTATTCGTAGAAATAGTGTATAATTCTTGAAAAACAATATTTTTAGTTTGGAAAACTCGGTCGTATCCAAGAGATTCCCAATAATAATATCCAATTGTTTCTTTGACCATTTTTTATGGTAACTTTATTTTATAGGTCCACCAAAACCCCCAGAAAATGCAATGGGGTACCAATAAAAAACTTTAACATTAAAAATTTTTTAAATAAACAACTGAATTTTAACACTGGAAGTCTCGTAAAGAGAACCACCGTTTTCCGATCGAAAAATATGGATTTTCAAGAATTTTATACCATTTCTATGAAAAGTAGTTTTTTTCCTATATAAAATACATGGAAAACTTTGAGGGCTTTGAGCACTCCCTAAAAATTTTTTAGTTTCAAAACAAAAAAATATGGGTATATTTTTTCAATACAGAACTATTCTAGGAGGTGGCGGCATTAAAATTCCGACCTTATTTTTTTGGACCACTCTAATGTACATACACATATTTATGTAAGTAAGTGCATACATTTGTTAGCAGAATTAAATTATGCATATGTTTCTTGCAAACAAAGCATTTATCTTTTATATACCTTTATTTATTTTTTATTTCTTGAATACAAGAACATCCACATGTGAATAAATAACGTTTTCTTAGCCAGATGTGAATATATGTATGTATGTAATTTTCATGCCTTTTTTCTCTTTATTTGCAGATGAACGCCAGGACATACAAAAGAAGACCTTCACAAAATGGATTAATTCACATTTGCTTAAAGCCCAGTGCACACCAGTGATCGATTTGTTTGAGGATTTACGCGATGGCCATCGTTTGTTGGCATTGCTTAGTATACTCACTCAATCACAGATGGTAGGTGAAACTAATTTGCTATTTCTTGCTCACAATTATAATATTCTCTAATAAAAATTGAATAGAAGTCGGAGTGTGAATTAAGGCTAACACGTGGATGTATGGATTTTTAGGTATTTTTCGGTGCCTTTTCCACCCGTTTCGCTCTTCGATGCTCCGCTCATATTAACAGCCTCATTGCGTGAGTCGTAAATTAGGCTAAATTGCACGACATCCGCATTGTCGACTGTAGTGCCGAAATAATATAACGGCGAAAATCGTCGAAAACTAGCGGTGCTGCCAAGTTTTTCCGTTTTAATACACTAGTCGAGTGGAAATTTTAGGCAATGGCGTGAAATTTTCGATTCGATTCGATTCTCGAAAAACGACTTGCATTCGACACGTCTCTTGCAATGAGGCTGTGAATTTCTTAAGTTAGATCTAATTCGCTGTCTCGGTAGCCTGTTGGCATAGATTTCTGAAAGTAATTTTTACACGTTTTTTAAGTGATGGACTTTTTACTGCAAATGTTAGGTCTCTTTAGACATTCTGGCCCTATTATGGTTGTCGACATTGATGTAATTTTTTCATCAAAAAATAGCCCTCGTCGAGGAACACCTTTCCTCTAAAATACTGTGGTCAGTGTAGCTGGAGTTGGACTTACGAGGGCTATTTTTATACCTTTCATGAGCATGAAATGGTATTATAACTTTGGTCCGATGTTTGTAAGTACCAGAACAAAAAGAGATAGACCCATCAAAATGTATACTTATATGATCAGAACGTCGAGCTGAGTTGATTTATCCATGTCCGTCTGTCCGTCTGTCCGTCTGTCCGTCTGTCTGTCTGTTTGTATGCAATCTAGTCTCTCAGTTTTCGAGATATCCGGATCAAATTTGGTAGGTGGGTGTATTTTTATAATGTATTAATCATTTGTCGGAACCGGAAGAATCGGACCACTATAACATATAGCTCCCATACAACTGATTGTTCAGATATGAGATTTTTCGTTATAACTTTTCCATTTACGCAGCTACGAACATGAAATTTCGCAGCACTTGCACCCATTATCAACAGAATGCTTACAGTGAAAATTACAAAGATCGGGTCTCTATAACCTATAGCTCCCATACAACTGATTGTTCAGATATGGGATTTTTCGTTGTAACTTCTCCATTTATGCAGCTACGAACATGAAATTTTGCAGTACTTGCACCCATTATCAACAGAATACTTACAGTGAAAATTACAAAGATCGGGTCACTATAACCTATAGACCCCATACAACTGATTGTTCAGATATAAAATTTTTCGTTATAACTCCTCCATTTATATCGCTAGGAACATGAAATTCCGCACTGTTTTCAATAGTTATCAACAGAAAACTTACAGTGAAAATTAAAAAAGATCGGGTAACTATAACCTATAGCTCCCATACAACTGATTGTTCAGATATGAGATTTTTCGTTATAATTCATCCATTTATGTAGCTAGGACCATGAAATTTCGCGCTGTTTTCAGTCATTATCAACAGAAGACTTACAGTGAAAATAACAAAGGTCGGGTCACTATAACCTGCAGACCCCATACAACTGATTGTTCAGATATGAGGTCTTTTATCATAACTCCTCCATTTATGCAGCTAGGAACATGAAATTTCGCACCACTTTCACTCATTATTTACAGAATACTTACAGTGAAAATAACAAGGATCGGATGACTACAACATATATCTTCCATACATCTGATTGTTCAGATATGGGATTTTACGGTAAAACTCCTTTATTTGAATAGCTAAAACCGATAAATTTCGTAAGATATTTTATAAATAATAATACAAAGTCTACTGAGAAAATCATCAAAATCTATGCTGTATAAGCTTTATCTCCTATAGCACTGATTGTTCAGATACCAGTTTTTGCCATATATCTCCTTTATGTAGGAAACTAAACCCAATAAATTGTGTTACCGGTTTACATACCGATCACATAGCAGTGAAAATCACTTAGATTGGTGCCATATAAAGTATATCTTCCATACCTCTGATTGTTTAGATGCGTATGTAACTCCTCTATCGATGTATGCAGATGTATTCAAAAGCAGTAATCTGTCAAAGTAAAATTTGCAGATGTTCATGAAAGGTATGAAGCCTTCGGCATAGCCGAAGACAGCGCTGCTCTTACTTGTTTACTCTAAAGAAAGGGTCAAAAAAGTTAAGGCTAGTACAAAAAAATTAAAAAAAAAATGCTCTAGAAATCCTGAAAACTAACAAATCATGAAAAATGCATAATTGCTTTGAAAAACTAAGTACAAATTTTCAAGCACCAAAGCTATTTTAATAAAACCTTAGTCCGGTATGTGGGAACCATAGGTCTCTATGTACAAATTGATTATTCTTAGAACTTAGCAGAATTATGCTGTCATCAGATATGCTATTGAATCTCTTGATTGTCCTTATGGTATTCCATCTACTACACTCGAAGGAGCTGCTGAGGTAATTTGGGAGCATATGGCATACTAAGAAATATGACATGATATGAAATATGGTATATTTAGCAATATAGTATACTTGAAAATGTGATATGCTATGAAATATGGTATGCCATGAAATATTTTAGGCTATGGAATGTGGTATTTTATGAAATATGGTATGCTATGAAATATGGTAAGCTAGGGAATATAGCATGCTATGAAGTATGGCATAGTATAAAATATGGCATGCCATGAAATGTGGTACGCTATAAAATATGAATGACAACAGAATATGTATTTTTAATTCTCGGAACCATTTTATTAGTTATGCGCCAGTTGCCTGCTGGTTAGTAATTTTCTCTGCAGTGGTACCTTGAAAGCTCTTGATGCAAGGCCACACTAACCAGCTCATTGAGTCTCTATATAAAGATGGAGAGATCTTAAGGGTTGAAAAAAATGGATGTCGGAAAGGCACTGAATGGTAGGACACAAAAATTGCACCTTGTAAGAAAGGCCTAATTTTTCTATCGGCGAATATGCCTCGGCATTTTAAGCTGAAGTATACGCAATGCTTAGTGCAGTGGTGTAATAGAAATAACTCTTACGGTCTACTAAGGTATGAAGGTACCTGCATTTATTGAAGAAATTGCATACATCTCATAGCATTGCTGACTGGCCATTTATCATAGTGAAACTAATTGACAATCTCAATTCTGCACTTTTAGTTATGAGGAGGATGCTAGGAGTGTAAAGTTTTTGCCTGCATGTCAACAAATTTGAGAAACTTTTTAGAAAATGTCCTTCCTTATGTTCTTTTATTGCCAACAAATTATTTAGTAAGATGATGACACTTCGAAATGTAGGGAAATAAGTAAAATGATAAGACGGGTGTGAAACAGGAAGCAAAGGCAGCACTAACTGACTTCAACAGTTGCAAGTCATTGCCTCATATTCACACTACGCATATCAATTATCCTGCCGAGTATAGGGAAAAGGAAATGTGAATCGAATTAGATAAGGTAAAGGGTATTTGGTAGAAGAGAAGGATGTGCAAAAGAAGCGGCAAATATTTCGAATTGCATAGAAATAGCAAAGTCAAGGCTTTCTGTGAATGCAAATTGCTGGTAAATAATGAGTGACAGGTGGGATATGCGAAATCACACATACAGAGACAGGTGATGGAAATGTGTGTGGGTGTAAATGAGTGTGAGTTGAGTGCAAGTGAGTGTAGATGCAGGTGTGGCTTTGCATGATTAAGGTTAAAATAAAGAGCTTGCTGATTAGATAGACTGACGCAAAGCAATTTGTATATATTTTGCTTGCATTTTCTTTACATTACTTTTCTATTTTCTTTCATTTCCTTTCATTATGCAATCCGCTTATGCAATTGCGCTTCGCCACATCAACTCGAACGCGCGCATCCACGCTGAACAGAAACCTGAGAGGGGTCGCATGCGCGTACATCACATCAACAACATTAACAAAGTTATCCAAGTGATACAGGAGCATGGCGTCAAGTTGGTGAATATTTCTAGCGATGACATAGTCGCTGGCAATCCGAAATTGACGCTTGGCCTGATCTGGCTCATTGCGCTTGAGTTCAATGGCCAAAATCTAGTCAAGAGCCAGTCGAGCAATGGCGTCGAGAAATCGTTGCTTGCGTGGGCGCGTCAATTTGCCGAACCATATGGATTGCAGCTGCATGACTTTTCCACCAGTTGGGCTGACGGACGCGCCTTTCTCATTATACTCAACGCGCATCTTGACGATATCGACTTGAGCGCGGCGCTGACGAAACATCCTTTGGCGCGACTCAAGACCGCTTTCGATTTGGCGCACAAGTACTTTAAGATTGAGAAGCTGCTCGATCCGGAGGATGTACACACGCACAAGCCCGACAATAAATCCATACAAATGTATGTGATGTGCTTGTATCATGCCATGGAGTCGTTACGCAATCGCGAACGCAGTGATAGCGCGGGTGAAGCGGTGCTGTTCGACGAGAAGGCGCAGGAAGCGCTGCCACCGCGCGCGCCACACAGAAACATCACAGATCTCGATGAGGTACCGTTGGATAGCGCAGAAGAGGTGTTCTCTGACCTGAGCAGCACGCCAGTGAGCAGCTCAGACCCAGTGAAGTCGCCCAAGCATAGCAGCGATACAATACGCAGCATTATGGACATCGTTATGGATGAGAGCAAACCGCCGCCTTTGGATTTCTTGCGCATGTCGCATGATAAGTCGCGGCCCATAAGCACGGCGACAAATGCATCGATTGAGATTACTAGCTATCAGGCAGCACTGGAGGCGGTGCTCACGCTGCTGCTAGAAGACGAGCAGATACTCTCACGTGAGTTGCCTGAGCCCAACGATTTTCAGAGCGCCAAGTTGCAGTTCCATGAGAATGAACATTTCATGTTGAAACTCACCGAACATCAGCAGTATGTGGGAGAAGCGCTCGAAGAGGGCTCCAACTTGATTAACGAATCGCAAAAAACTTCGGGTCTTACGACCGAAGATCAAAATGAAATACGCCAGCAAATGGTGCTGCT